ATGGGCCCTGTGTTGGGGATCCATGACCTAGATCAGTGTTTCTCAAACTTGCAAATTTAAGATGTGTGGGCTTCAATTACCAGAATTCTCCAGCCAGCCACATGTGAAGTTGTGTGGAGTTGAAGTACACACAACTTAAAGTTGCCAAATTTGAGAAACACTGATCTAGAGGTTGTGCGTGTGTGTATGTGTGTGTATATACACACACACCACACACATACATACATACACACACACACATTAAGCATAATAGAAAAAGACTAGCCAGACAAATGTTCTGTTCATAGAATGCAGAATATAATCAGTGTGGCAAATTTAACATACTTCGGATTTTACAAATAAATTATTTATAATTTAATAGCATCTCTTTTGGACTTTTAGTATCATTAACCTTCTTTTCCCAATCAGCTGGCTGGTGAGAAAAGCAGGCGAGAGTTCTTGTAGCCTTCCACCCCAATATAAGTATGTTGGCCTTATCTCAACAAAATGTGACATGCACAGGAAAGAAACAATAATCTTTCCATCCTAGAATTCATCCCTTCTTTTCCATGCAGCAGAGAAGAAGGCTTCTTTTCTTTTTCTTTCTTTTATCAGTGTGCTAAGGAGAGGGATTTCATTAGAGAAGTAACCAATGATTGAAGGACTGTCTCCTCATCTATATGGTGATCCGAAAGATAGATGTACAGTGTGCAGGGTTTACAGAAGCAGAAAAAAAAACTACATGCTACATAATTATGTACCATGAAGGATATTTTGACCCTAATGCAAGAGTTATATTGAAACTGAATCATCTTATATTAAAACTGTCATATTACAGATACAGCATGAGTAAATCCTCCTCATTTCACATTTCCAGAGAGAAAATATTTCATCTGAGTTTTTCCTTGGATGTTGCTTACATTTCTAATTCTTTTGATGGAAAAAAAAAGCTAAACAGTTCATGGGGAAAAAATCCATGAATACCTCACCAATTTTTCATCCCCCTTCTCCTACCTGCATCCATGTCCCAGGCAGACAGATGAGGGTTTTCTGATGTGAAGGAAAAAACGTGATATTCCCTTTCTCCCCATCTTCTACAGGAAAAACTATGAGGCTACAACTAGGGATGGAAGTGAGTTGGAAGGGAGTCCTGCTTCAAATAATGACCACCAATATCAAGGAAGAAGAGCAAGTTTTGCTCTCCTAAGAAATGTGTTTCTGTTCAGAAAAAGAAATGCAATCTTCACTCTATGTTGACATTTTGCACTTAGCTGTTAGATAACTGGGAGAATGATGAGAAAGACTTAACTTACGCCTGCAAGCCTGTAATTGGCTGGTCAATACCTTCCTAATTTCATTTACCCAGGTAGATTTGACTTCAGGAGTTGTAGCCTATGTCAAAAAGAAAAAGTCAGAAACTCAATAGTTGCCATGAGGGCAGCCAGTCAAAAAGAAGACAGAGAAATTCAGCAAATGAGGTTAGTGTCAAAACTGGCAAGCATTGTGACAAAACTCTCCCGCTTTGTATATGTGTGCCAAAGGGTGGGGCTTGCATCAGGATGTCACAGCTGCCATTGTCTGTCTGTTTTGACCCCCACTGGGTTGCCACTGTCTCACTGTCCCAAAATTCAAGTAATGGTTTCTTCCTTCTCTGTTTCCCAACCATCTCTCCCCCACAGGTCCTAGAGAAAAGACCAGGAACAGGCATCTTATTGCTGCATAAGTTATGTTAATGATATTCTTACTTGTATTTTTAATTACACTATTGTTTTTATGTTTTTGTTAGCTTCCTTGAGCGTCATCAGTTGCCAGATGGGAAATAAACCCATCAATAATAAACAGCCTTTTCAATAAGTAGCATTTAAAGAAAAGAGTTTTACCTGTATTATGTAAACTTCTTCCCTTGCATTATACCAAATTTCAAATTTTTTAATATCGCCTTTCACATTTTCCGTTATTCCAACTGCAGTCATCTAGAAAACAAAATACATTTAAACTGATATTCATGTAGAGAACCTTGCCAAACAAAACTTCCACCAAGTTTATGTTTATTTTGATTAAATGCATTTTTAATTTAAATGCATTTTTTGCTGTTTTTCTTATATGTATGCGATCATATAAGATTGCATACATATAAGAAGGCACTGCGCTGTAAGGAAATAACTAAAAAGAGTACCTAATTTGTGTACTTCTTTGATAAAGCAGGGGGAGAAGAAAAGTAGGTGAGAAATGGAGAGAAAAGAAAATAAGACTGCACTTATTGGTAGAATGACTAGATAATGCAGTAATTAAATTGTGTCATGAGATTGTTATCCAATTTCCCAACAGCAGACACTGATGTAGAGAAGACAAACAGCCTTAAATCTATTTGGATCTACGGTCTTATGGAATATAAAGTGTTAATGTGTATCAGGCTTATCCACCACAGGATAGAAATAAGCAATTCTAGTTTTATTCCAGTGTAACTGGACTTTGGCCCAATATTCAGACATTTAAAATTATGCAGTTCAAGATTCCAAACTTCAAATGCAAACATTTCACTCTACATATTTTAAATGTATCTTTAAAATCTTACATTTAAAGAATGCTTAAAGCTGTATGAGGGTGCTTTTTCATATCCTTCTCCATTTTCTTCTCTCTTTTTGCAGAATAAAATCGCTTTCTCATGGAGGAAGAGGTGTCTTTGCATTGGCTTAAACCGGGCCAAATCTTTCACTTTTGAGTGGCCCTTTTTATGATCGATCCAGACATTGAAGGATCCTTGCATTAAAAGTTTGCCCAGTTCATTCAGGTTCCCCTTCAAGAAAGATAAAAATAACACACACACATACACAATCAACAGTAGTGCAGGTAGATGATTTTATTTCTGATTATTAAAATCTGATTGTTAAATAATGATGGCCCAATTAACATAATTCAGTTTAAGTTCAAAACCTAAGAAGAAAATAAATAATATTTTGTGTACACTTTATCAGACATCCTAGGCAGAGCAGAACTCAAAAATGCCAGTTTCTGGCCTGGCATAAAGGGCAGCCACTCCTTATCTTGGGTTAGGAGGGCTCCAGGGGCATGGCAGATGGTCAAGAATGGGAGAGGCTGATATTTTAATCCATTTTCTGGGGAAGGGGGGTTGGGGACTTCTAAAGGATAAAATGGATGTATTAATAATTATGGACAAATGCATCCATTTCTCCCTTATTCTGGAAAAATGGAACAAACTAGGAAAAGTTTCACCACCAAAAAGTGGATTTTCCAGCAAAATGTTGATGGTGCATTCTAGAGGTGCCTACGAAGATACAAAATTGGTGCCAGGCCACTTTTCTGCTTGGCTATTTTTTCACTGTACAGTAGCCTTGACTTACGACAGCAATTGGGACCAGAATTTCCATCACTAAGCGGCATGGTTGTAAAATGCAACCGCATCACTTAGCGACAGCAATCCCTGCAGTCCCAGTTGCCATGGTTAACTGCATCCCACAGTTGTTATGTGAGGCAACTTCCTGCTGGCTTCCCCCAAGCAAAGCTGTGTGGGTTGGGGAGGGTATGCAAGAGTGCATGAGAGAAGCAGGTTGGGGAGGGTGTGTGAGAAGTGCTACGCAGGTCAGGGAGAGTGCATGAGGACACAGTGAAGGTCTGGGAGGGTGTGTGGGAGTGCGAAGGAGGCGTGGCAAGGATCAGGGAGGGGTGTGCGAGTGGCCAGCGTGGCATGAGCACAATGGGGCTGGAGGAGGGTCTGGGGGGGGGAAGATTTATCCCAGCAACTTGTGACCTTCCCTGCCTTTGACTTTCTGGGGAAGCTGGCAAGGAAGGTTGCAAATGGTAGTCACGTGATTGTGGGACGCTTGGAAACCAATCGTAAATGTGAGTGGGTTGCCAAGCACCTAGATCGCGATCACATGACTGTGGGGGTGCTGGGACAGCTGGAACACTGAGGACCAGTCCCAACCACTATTTGTTCAGCGCCGTTGTAACTTTGAATGGTTGCTGAATGAATGGTTGTAGGTCGAGGACTATCTGTATTAAGCTTTATACACAGGCTACTATTCAAGTATCTGATCTGCAAACTATGGTCTGAAGTAAAACAGTCTATCCTATTTGCTCCGTTAGTTATATTTGTCCAGGACTCTGTACTGAAAAGCTTGTAGTTTAAAATTGTACTTGGAGGAAACCGAAAAGATAAGTTCTAAAAAATTAATTTTTCCAATTATTTGTTTGTAAGTTTGGTTAATGAAATTTCCATTCCATTTAACTGAAGGTAGAGATAAGACACAAAGTTAAAAGAGAGATACCATCTGAAAAACAGAACTTTCTACAGTTTAAAAAATATGCTGAGAGGTATATGTAATTATGAGATTGTATACTATCATTATTACCCTCAGCTATGGAAGGTCCCTGGATGACTTTGGGGCAGTCACACTCTTTCACTATCTCACGTGGTTGTTGTGGTGAGGAAAAATAGGAGAAATTATTATCTATACTACCTTGAAGTCCTAAATGAAAGATGGGATTTAATTTGAACAAAAAACTGATTTTGGATCACTGAAAAAACAAAACTGTTGCTTAGAATATTTACACTACTTATGCAGGCTTGCGGTTTCTTCTCTGTCTATAAAATACAAGATACCAACATATTACCAGTTACCTCATAGCCAGTGATTGCAATTTGATGCATGGAATCATTAACTGCTTTAAGAATTCCCAATATCGATGTCAGGGCCACTTGGAGATCTTCAGCACCTTCACAATTTTTACTGTACTTTAACATTTCCTATTGGAGAATTACATGTATTTCAGACAACAGAGAAGCACCTTCAGTGTATCATTAAGGGAATGCTTAGAAGTGGGGCTCTTTTAAGCTATTGCAGTAATAGCAATGGTTTTGAGTCATTTCAAAGCTGATTACATTTTAAGTTTAACTTTTTTCAAATAAATAGGTATTGTTAAATCAAGTGATTACAATAAAAGACCATTAGCATCTGAGACAGACTTCAGGATCAGGTACTGATCAGTTCAAGGACCATCTTTGTCCTGTGCCTAACCGGTTTTTTTTTCTCCCCACCCCCTCACAAAGGAGATTGCTTAAACAAGCTATCTCTTCCTGAGCAGCTTTTTTCCACAGCCGAAGGCTTCCCTAAAAAGTGCTAACCCCAAGTTAACAAATTCAGCTCTGTGACCTTAATTAGTTGATCAGAACCCTCTGGGCTTGCTGCCTGAAACTGACTAGTCCTTAATCAGTTTCACACCAAAGGTTTTTTTGCCTTCTAAGCAGCTCATGGCTCACAGTTGTGAGCATGCTAGCCAAGCAGCTGACGGTAGCGCATTTCTCTCAGTGTATATTTTCTATTGTGTGCCTGTTTACTCACTTGTACTCCCTTCCTTCCCAATGAATGTAAATACAAATATTAATTTCCTTCTTGCTAATTATCCCAGTGTCAGGGGTGAGTGTTCCAAAGGGCAGGGGAATGAGGAAAAATGGCTACAAGATTTGCCCTGCAAACCTGGCTTCCTCGTGAGTTGAATTCCAGAGACCGTCCTCACCGTTTGGGCTCATTCAGTTGCTGGGAGGCCACTGTAACAATTTCTTAATAAACTTTCTCTAAAAGATTTGTTGCTGCCCTGGCATCTCCCTTGGTGTTCTCATTCTTTGGTATCTGTCCTGCAAATCCTAAATTAAGTGTTGAGGCACAAATTAGCAGCAACAGCCTTTTCTCTGTATTTCTTATGTTCCCTGATCAAACTCCACTTTCCATCTATGAAGTAGATGAAGCATTCAGAGAACTGGATGAGACTTTGCTGACTGTGGAAAGAACCTTCTGTCCACTGAAGGTTTTGACCCAGCAAAAGGATCCTACTGTCAGAAAGGATAACTTTTATTGTCTGCTTGCCCTGAAGTGTCTCTTGGAGCATCACCTCTTGCTTATTCCAGGGAAAAGAGTTATCCCTTGATCCTCCAATTATGGCAAAAGTAAGCTACTACACAGGAATAGGAAATGTAACAATGTGTGCCTTCCTCTGTCCCCTCCCTTCCCAAATCTCCCTTTTGGCTGGTAAGATGATTTCTGCAGAGGAACATGGAGTTTTCTATGTCATAATATATTTGCTGAGGACAATTGCAAACCATATTGCAAATTTCAAATGTCACTGGACAAATTATTTTTTTTACATTCAGTAATAAAAAAGGTAACCTCTGAACAGTGTGCCACAAATGTTACTGCAGGCATTTCCCCCCGGTACCTACTAGGTTCCCTGTCCCACTTGACATCAATCAATCAATCAATCAATCAATCAATCAATCAATCAATCAAGGACATGGCTGAAATAATTCCTACCTTTAGCAACAGTTGATATTTGGTTATTCTTTGAATAGGCTTTAGTAAGTAGGAATCCAAACTCAACTTGTGATCAAGTTTTCGTTGACACTCCTACAAAAAATAAAAGATGGGCAACAACTTCTTCCCCACAAGATAGTAGTTGACTAGTTAATATGGTCCCAAGTACATAAAAGAATACCTGGAAGAATGGTGAATCTGAACACTGCCTCCAAAGACTTTCTGATCGAGGTTTATTTTGACAATATTTTTCATAAATTTTAAAGTCTTTCATCTTAATTAAAAAAAAAGAGAACCATGAATCAAACAAATGAGGCATCCATTTAATTAAAATAATATAATTACATCTATAATGAGAACCTTACTAACAGACCATATTCTTCTGACTAGAGAAAGTGGCAGAAGGTCCTGGCTCATCTCAAAATTTTTTTTTCCTGTTTGCACTTCTGCTATTCTTTTTCCTGTATGGGAAACCTGAAAAACTGTATTATGCAACAGTTACCATAAAGCCAGGAAAATAATGGGACATTAAATGGATACCTTTGCTATTTCAAAGGAACTAGCAGCAACCTATAGACCATTTTCTATACTGACGCACATGTCAGTGGTTGACCAGATATGGCAAAACATTTGACACAACAGACAATTTACAAAATTATTTCAAATTAACCCTCTCTCTTTTTGGAGAGAATAAAATGAGCAGCGGGGGCTTGGTTGGATACAAAAGTCCCATATCCAATATCCCTATGTGCCTGTTACAGAGATCATCATTCATTTAGTGCAATTTCCCATGCTGCCTTGGGAATTCTGGGAGTTGAAGTCCACACGTCTCAAAGTTACCTATGCTGAGAAACACTGATTTAGGGTAAAGGACAAGATCTGTACAAGCAGACAACTACATAAGGATGGTGGGAGAGCAGCTTAATTTTGCACCCAAATCACTCTCTTTGTATTTAAGTGTAATCTTGCACAGATGAATGTAATTTTTCTTACTCCTGGAGTATTATAGATTACTACAACTGATCTGTAGTCAGGCAATTCATGTAATCAAACCATTATAAGAACATGGAAAGCTGCCTGTTACATGGTCAGAGTATCTGTTCATCTATCTGAGCCTCAACAGGCTCTTCTTGAATGAACCTGGGATCTACTGCAGCAATTTCCTACTACTACTACTGCAACTGTTGTATAGCTCATCTTCTGAATACAAATCCTAGCAAGGGTTTTATAAATAATACCAGCAATAACAATGTCTGGGATTTTCCCCACAGGGTAGTTGTTGTAATGGGACTATGGGAGATGACTTAAAGAAGTCTTCTCAGTGGCGTTCTCCTGCTGTTCTCACCTACATTCAAAATCTGTCCTACTGGGGAGAATGGAAGTGCTAAGCACAACTGAACCAGTCCTGGGCATACGTGTTCTTGGAACGTGGCAGAATACTGAGAAAATGTAAATTAGTAACACAGTTACTTGACACCAAGTTCACTTATTACTTGACTCCAGTTCACAATTACTTGACTCCAGTTCACTTAAAATCTAATACTTACCCGTTCAAGAAAACAACGTCCTATTAGTTGAGGGTATTCTATGTAATCTTCTATTTCTTTCAAGAATATTCTACCAAAAATAATAATTGTATTTTACTTGAAGTTATGAAATAATTTAAGATACCTACATGTGCCCACATGTATTTTATTCTAAATTTACATGCACATTCTTATATATTTCAGGAGCAGGAATCTATAATGGCTGCATCTACATAATCAAAATCACTATTTGCATTAAATTATATTTAATGCATTATATTATACTATAAATATATTATATTATAAAATATATTTAATGCGTTATATTTGCATTAAAATATAAAAGAGTTTAGCCTTACACTGTATAAGTTACCAGTTGAAAATGATGATGCTGTAAATAATTCATTTATATAACATTATTGATATGTATGATGCATGATACCGAGCAGCAATCTTCTATGTGATGCCATTCAAATGTGTTGAATTTACAATTTCTAATAAATCTTACTCTCATGGCCAACACATTCAGACGATACCAGGTTTGGAACAGTATAAACAAAATAGACAGGACAGGACTCTATCTTGATTTATGACTAGGTTACCTGAGGGACTGCCTCTCCCCCATGAGTTCATCCCGTCCCACCCGATCACACAGAGGGGGCATGCTCTGGACCCCCTCGGCAAAAGAACTCCGACTAGCGGGGTCCAGAAGACGGGCCTTCTCTGTAGTAGCCCCCGCACTTTGGAATATCGTGCCCCTGGAGGTGAGATTGGCCCCCTCACTCCTGGCCTTTCGGAGAGATCTGCAGACCTGGCTCTGCCGTGTGGCGTGGGGTGAGGAGGGGGATCATCAACTGTGGGGTTGGCTAGTCCCTTAGTGGCCTAGC